CTTTGGATTGTTTCTGTGAGATATGTCCATTTTAAAGGCCACCTGTGATTATTTCTGTATCATTGAGATGACTATCTTCAATCTGCAATGAACAATGGTATGGTCACGATTGCTTGAGACCAGGATTTCACACACTGCAGGATTCAATGATGTCAGACCACTTTAACCCATGCTGTGGAAGTGCCTGATGAATGATCTTGCCCCTTGAAGGGTTTCACATAACTCACAAGTACAGCCCATGTGCTCAGACAGAGCTATTAGCTCCATGTGCTCCATCCACTCCAAGTGTGGTGTCATCCATTTTTTATTTCCACTGTTGTCTTTGGGATTCAGATGAAGATGGAAGGTAAGACAGGTCTGTGCTCAGCAGAGTGAATTACAGGTTTGGCCTGGTAACCAATAGGCTCCTCCCAAATTTCTATGTTCTGTTCTTCCTTGCATTCTTGTCGACCCCATCAGTTCTATGCTTCCATATGTTCATATCTAAGTCTTTTATTTAAGTCATCATTCCTCAACATTATCCTTGAGCCCTGGGCCAACAGCTCAGCAATGTTACCCATTATGATACACTCTCCTCCCATTACAGCCAGTGTCCTTGTGACCATTGATGAAACTCCTTTCCCACAGTTCCCCATATCCTCCAAAACACCATTGCTTTCCAGCCTTGTATGTTGAGTTGCTTCTGTCACAATTCATTTTCCCTCTGCACGCTGCCTCCAATCCTCAAAATTGACTTCATTAACTTCCCCAATACAGCTGTGGCTCCTGATAATTTACTTTGATTTTCAGAGATCAGGATCTCAGGACTACAACCCCCTGACACAGTTGGAAATACAACCCTGACTGATGAGTGACCAGCCGCTTGACTGAGTTACTGTAAGTCCCCACACTAGTTTCACTGGACATGTAGGACTGACTGTGGCCCTATCCTTTGATTCTACAGATAAGGAACTCCTGACCATGACTGCCCTGAGTGACCAAACGACCATGGCTGGCCCACTGGTCTGAGATCGGATGTGGCTCTTAATGGACTGTGGTACAACTCTCTGACTTATGGCAGTCCCTCTTGACTTGACCAAGGACTACTCTTTGTCACTTTAAGTCATGGTCATTAGTTTGAAGGACATGCAGTGTGTTTGCTGCATAAACTGTTGCCACATGGTGCAGGTGTGACATGGACATAGGACAATGACATACAGCAACATGTCCAACCCCTTCACTAATAACCATGACAAGCAGCCTGGCTTTGTATCTGTGCCAAAAGGCAAGACAAGACAGAACTACAATGAGTCTTTAAGTTCTGAATGAGAATAGCAAAGAGCAAAAAGGCTTTGCAAGGTAGGCAACATGAGGTAGGTAGAGATGTAACTGTGAAGTGTGTATGTATGTGCGTGCGTGTGCAGGTGTTTGTATGCGCACACGCTCTAAGAAATCAAGTTAAGATCAGATGCACCCAGTTCTGATGCATGAGATGGATGCCTGTCTCTGTGTGCAAACTGGCCTGAGAGCAACATTACAATGAAATTAATCAGTGCACTCCAAAGTGAAGCATTAAAGTCGACAGTTGTGTTCTAAGTGAGTTGGTAATGAGCCCTGATGATGTGATGAGGCTGGTACGCATTCGATGCCAACCTCTATGAACAGGCTCTGCAGGTGGTCACTGTTAACACAGTATGCTCTGAGATTGCAAGGACTCCTGTCCAAGCTGGAGGCTCAGAGGAGCAAGCAATGAGCTGAAGCTGCCAGGTATCTGCAATGAGTTTCATGTCAGGAATTGTCACCATCTAGTTTCTCTCTGCCATATGGGAGGATAATAAACTGCACATAAATGAGGAGAAGGTAGGTAATAATGAGATGTAAATGCATGCAAATAGGCCTATTGCCACTCTGACCAGCAAGATTCTCATCCCGCTGTTCAAACTTTGGAAGGAAAATTGGATTTCTTTTCGCCGGTGAGAACCTCTTTTTTTCTGATCTTGTCATATTTTCCCAAATGACTCATTGTTCAGGGGCAGGGAAAAACCAGCCCATTGTGTGCATCCTGAAAATAATCTTAGTTAAGGCAGGCATGCATTCATTATTAGGATGCAACTTTTAGAACAATGAAGCATTGGTCGAATAACATTGGGAGTCGGGCCTACTGAGCTGAAAGCCCCTCTCCTTAAGTTTCCAGACATAGCTTGGGCTGTCAGCAGATTCTGTATAAATCCAAAATGATACAAACTCACATTCCAGTACCATGCTAGTGCATTGGACATCCTAGGAAAACCTGCACAATCACTTCTAATTCTTGTCACTTTAAGAGAGACGCCACATGCCTGATCTCAATATTTTTTTAAAAAAGCTCGCTACAGAGACAAACAGATGCAGGACTCAATTACCACTGAGAATCGCTCTATTGGCCGTGCAGATAATGTTTAGAGCCTAGGACTGAGAGCACAACTGTGACCTTGCTGCAGATGGATGCAATATATTGTTGAAAGCATGAATACAAGTGCATAAGAAAACTCAGGGAAGCACACTATACTCTATTCTTACTGTTGTGCTTTATTCTAAAAAGTTTCTAATTACTTTGTTATAACATTGGAATCCATATTCTAGATGTTGGACTACTCAGCTTTTGGTTTACTTTTAGAATGTCAGAAATAAATATGATGGAAAACATATTACTTTGGGAAACTATAAAATATGATTTGATCTTGAGTAGGTTGGTAATGTAAAACAATCTATTGTCGTGCAACAGATCTTTTGCAGATGTTTCTTGTATCTGATGCTAGTTATGTGGAGTGCATTAGTCAATAAAAAAAAGCATGGGCTGATTCTGACGTGTGCACAATTGTTTCCTTTTGTTACAAAGTCAGCAAATTTTAGAGTATGTTTTATTGTTGGAGCTATAAAAGATATAAAAGACTCAGGGACAGATTTTTGCTCTCAAGTTGGGAAATGTTCCAAGTTTGCAGACTTGCCTTGGTTTTAAAGAGCTCATAAGTCCCAGTCTTCCCTCTGGGGAAGCACAGGGACAGAATGATTCAGACCCGTCAACCCTAGAATAAGATCCTGGGTGGTCTTGGGGATGGGTGAGTGTTGAGGTAGAGCCTACGTTGAGTTGTTGGAAGTTATTAGGCTCTGTAGCTCATACTCTATCACCTAATGAGCTGTCATAATCAACATGCCACCTCCATGCCAATTCATGCCTTCTACCCACTGAAATCCTCTTCCATCTCCATGCCACCTCATGACTGTTATCCATTCCAATACGCACATGCCCCTTCATGCCAATTTATGCCCTCTAACCAAACCTGGTCCCCTCATACTCCCAATCCATCTCCTAGATTTGAACAATCTAATTCACCTCATATTTCTACACACTTGATTACAGGAAAAATGTCCCATTCATGAAACTCATTTAAAGCTTTAAATTCCTCAAGTAGTTTGGTTCTTGCAAAAACAAACTCATTTACACACCTCTATTCAGAGCTAACATCAAAGATATCTTATCCTTTAATAGCCTATTTAAACCATCAATCAAACTGTGGACCCAGAACTTCCTACTGAGATAACGCGCTTTTGAAAGTGAGTCAAACATTATTAATGCCTTGGAAAATTATCAACAAAGAACTTAATTGAAATTGCACAATCAGAAGATGTTTTAAACTCTGATTGACAGTCTCAGGTTGTTTGATGTTTAAAAAGCAGGGATTTAAAATTCTCAAGCTCATGGTGTTTAAAAGAACATTGTTCACCTGACAAGTGAGTACGTCTATTTCAAAAATTCCTGACTCCCACATTGTGGGTTAAGGCAGAGACGAGGGGAGTATGTCAGGGTCCAACAGCTGAGGTGCTAGGCGAGATAGGGAGACTGTGTGCTAAGGTCAGGGTGTGGAGCCACTGTGTTCAGTTTGGCCAGTTGGTGCGCTGTGCTCAAGTCAATGGGTTGGCCCATTGTGCTTGGGTCAGGGAAAGGGGCGCATTGTGTATGAGCAGGGGTGAGCCCAGTGTGGTTGTGCTGGGGGCAGCAGACACTGTTCTCTGATTGGGGGTGGGGGCCAATGTTCTTTGGTCAGGGCTGGGGCCAAAGGTGGGAGCAGGGCCAGGGATCTAGGCCAGAGCAGCACTGGGGTCCCTGATAAATCTCTCTCACATTGGGTTAAGGCCTTGGGACCATTGAACTGGACACTGAGTCTGAGTTCAAGTCTCCCTCCTGTGTGATTCATATCCTTTCTGGCAAGAGCTGGAGCTATCAGAAACGGTAGAGGGACTCCACATTCAGGTCTAGTTTGCCATTTTTAAAGGTGCCAGAGACTGACTCAAAGGCTCCAAATCTTACTCCAGGTGCACCATTAGAAAACGTAAAGCTTGTAACATAGGCGCCAATTAAAGTTTCTATTACTATTGACATGAATTGCAGGCTTTCTTCAGAGTAACTGTATTGAAGAAGCTGGTTCTGCAGATCTGGTAAGAAGTACAAAGTTGTCACATTTAAGACCATTTTATTAAAAAAAAACTTCAGCAGCTTTTCAACTATTCGTAACTTCAAAAATTAATCACATTCTGAAATTAGATTCATATTCTTAGTGGAAGATGAAACCAAATGAAATAAAAGGTAAAAGAAGAAACAAGCTTTTTAAAGCCAAAACCTTAAATATTAGGATGAATGGCCTCATTAATTCCCAGTTCAATAAATTGCAAATTTCATCGGCATTGTTTTGGTGAGGCATAACATGATGACCAGACAGTTCTATTCATGGGAAGGTGAAAATCAGGAGTTCAGTCTGTTAGAGTATCTTGGAGTCAGTCAATTTCCTGTTCTTTTGTCCTCTATCTACCTGTGACCTATTAGAACCAAAATGTCGAGGGATGGAATAAGCTTCCAGGTACAGACTTTTATTTGGAATATGGTGCAAATCAGTGCAAATGCTAATCAATTTGGCAAATTCACCCAAAGCAGAATTACCTTATTTCTGTACACACATTGCAAATGAAAAGGGTTTAATTCATACCTGAGACCAGAACAAGTGCTGAGGCTGACAACAGATTGAGAATATCCTTGCACGTGACCATGGTAGTAGCAGTGACCCTTAAAACAAAATATTGTAAAGCGTGAACCATATTTCTTCTCTTGCAAATTTTCAATATTTTTATGATGTGCAATGAAATTCATTGAATGTTGATTAAACTGGAAACAACACGTGAAAATATTGCTACAAAAGCATTTCTAATGGAATGAGTTGCTGCTGGACTAAATAAGATCCTTCAATTATAACAATTTTACGTACCTCCTTTAATGTTTATCGTAACTCACTGGACAAACTATATTCCACTAAAGAACGTGAAGTCTGCAGTAAATTAAAAGTATTCTGTATTTGTTGTTAGTTTTTAAGTAATAAATTTGATTATTGGACCTCTGTTAGAGCCGGTTTCGCAGAGCCATAAGAACAGTCATTTCTTTTAATCACTAAAGCTCTTTACTTAAAATTAGCTGACATCCTCCATGCACTAAAATAACATGCTCTAATTTGTTAAAGAGAAAAATGAATCCTGTGCCATCCAGAAGAGAAAATACCACATGTTGGAAGCAGTTTGTTTGCCAGGAATTAATACGCAACAAGTTAAATTAAACAGGAATTTCCCTTTCCCTTACAAGGAACACTTTTGAAAGCCTGCTGAAAACTGATCATTGAAATGTTACCTTTCATTAATTCTACTCAACACTCTGGCATCAATCAGACATTATACTGTTTCCATCCGACACAAGTATAAATGGTCTGTAAAAGATTTCCCTTTTAGATAAAAGTACAGACCCAACATATGTGCAAGAAGAGGGGAGGGTGAGAGATATCGGTCTGGATTTCCATTGAGTCAGATTAACCTGGGAATCCTTTAAAAATGGTTGACAGGACTCAACTTCAGGATTTCCACTTGTATTCCTATTTCCTGTCTATTTCACAGATGCAGGCCAGTGGCATGGGTAGCCTGCCTGTTCCCAGTACTCCTGCCCTTGCCAATTGTATTGCTACGGTGAGCAATTAAACACTCATGATGATTTTAATGGAGTCAGCCCCCTTCTCTAAGCAGATGTGATACACGGCCTCTCAGAGGTGGTACAGACTGTGGGGGACCCCTCGATCATTGGGGATGATCATTAAAAGGGGTGATAATCAGGCACATTTGTGGTGAGTGGGAGGGCTTCTTGGTCAATACGGTGCTACAGTAGAGATGTCCCATGCTGCCCTGCATTAGGGATCACCTTTGCTGAGTTACCTCTATCAGAGGTTCTGGGATGAAGGAAGTGTAGAGTCACTGAACAGAAGCGCAAATTTCAGATGAGCTGAAATGAATCTTGTTCATAGCTCTCAAGCGCTTCCTTCTCCCAGTGACTGAGGGAAGGTCCAGGCTGCTGGACACACAGTGGTGCTAGAGGTCCAACCGGTGAAATGTATATGGTTTGTGCTGGGGACAGGGGAGGGAGAACCACAGGGTAGAATCACGGAAAGAGCAGATCATGGAGGGTCAGAGGCCAGTCCGAGGGAATGGTCTACAATGGCCAATCCCCTGCTACCCATTCATTTCCCTGATTAACTGCCAGGTTGGGACAAATTGAGGGCTCCACCCAAAAGCATCAGGCAAGCTGTCCCATTTTCCCAGCCGGAAAGGCAGACTGGTGGTGGGATAGGAAGCCTGACCGTGGCTCTCCCACCCCAAATGTAATTGTTGTGGTGTCCTGAATGAGGCAGGTATCCTCCGATGCTAACCCACCCAATCATTTGCTCTTTCCCACCACTTTTCTGGAGGAGAAAATCCCTTCCACAGATTGCAACTCATTCTTTTCACACACTAAAGGAAATTAAACAATTGAGTGTGATCTTAGCTTGGGAAAACAGAGACAACACAAGAACTGGCAGCAGCATCAGAAGGGAGAGGTTGAGGGTGACAAACAAGATCAAGGATTCATTTCAGCTCATCATGAATGTACTTCTCTGTTCGGCAAGTCCATATATTCCTTCATCAGGAGTTGGTTAGCTGAGTTGGCTGGACAATGTGAAGTGATATCAACAGCATAGGTTCAATTCCCACACCCTTCTCAACCTCTCCCCTCACCTCAGATTAAACCACAACCAGTTATCTCTGTATAATAAGAGAGCAGCCCCTTGGTCTGGTAAGACTTTGGCGACTTTACCTTAATTCCTTCATCCCAAAGGAAGAGGCAACTCAGGAAGCACAAATTTTCTGAGGTGATTGCTAATTAATCTAAATTAAAACTCCTTGTACAGTCAGCAATTATATCTATTTCAGTGACAGTCCACTTACAGAGTAGTCTCTCTAAGATGAGATGATAATGGAAGACCTGTTGACCTCTCAGGTGTTGTGTTTGTGCAAACACGCACATTAGCTCAAATATAATTACTGAGGCAATGATTTAAAACCCAACTCTTCTGTATATATTAATATATCCATTCAACTCTTTAGCTCAATTCAGTTGAAGCTATCCATCATTATTTCCTTACAAATATTACAATTATACTGGTTTTATGAGTTGGAATCTAATTTAAGCCATTATTTTAATTGAACACAGTTAGAATATAACAAGTAATTCTGATTTTGAAACTATGCTTATGTTTATTGAAAAGTTAGGACAAAATATAAATACATAAATGAATAAATTAGGGCCCTCGTGGCACAGTGGCAGTATCCCTACCTCTTAGCCAGATGGCTTGGGTTCATGTCCGACCTGCTGCAGAGATGTGTAATGATAACTCTGGACAGGTAGATTAGGAAAATAATTACCTACAAATTGGTAAACATTTGTGGATATATTCACTTATTATAACATTTGCACACAATATTTCCTCACCAATGTGTGTGCAATAGCAATAATAATGGGTGGAGTCTTCTGTTTGTATTGGATGTTTTATTCGCTTGCTTAAAAGGTAGAGAGACACAAATCTCAGGCAGTTTGAATGTTGCATGGAGAGACCGGGAGATGGAAGCAAGAAGAGGAGTGCTGGCTCTCAGTGCAAATTCCAAGTTCTATGTTCAGTCCTTTAGCGATGGGACTAAACATAGTCCAGCTTCACGGTAATGAAGTTGATTAATGCAACTGATTTATTCCTAGAATATGTTCATGTAACTCATATTGCATGCTATTAAAGTCAAATATATAAAGATATTTAAGGTAAAAGATTATGGTGCATAATCCACACTTTAATTTGTCAAATCTCATAGTGACTGCTACGTCAATATAAAATTTCATGCAAGATTCTGTTAAATTCATTAAGATATCAAAGATAATCAGTAGGAGTTATAATTTGCTCTTTGCAGAATCTGCTCCACACTTGCGAGCAATAGTATGAAATCCTGGAAGTGACTTCACTTTTATGATAGTTCTAATGGGTATTACTATTCACATTGCAAATAACTCACAGAAAAACAAAATAAACTTTTCCAAAACAAAGATACCAATATTAGGGGAGGTGGTTTCACGGTGGTAATCGTATTGAGCAAGTAATCCAGAGGCCCACAATAATACTGTGGGAACATGGGGTCAAATTCCAACTCAGCAGTTGGTGGGATTGAAATTCAATTAATAAATCTGGAATTAAAATTTAGTTTCTGCAATGGTGACAATGAAATCATTGCTCTCTGTTAAAAAAACAAAACATCTATTTCACTAACTTTCTTCAGGGAAGGAAATCTGGTGTTCTTATTTGGTCTGGTTTAAATGTAATTCCAGACAGCTGCAATGTAGTTGACTCTCAACTGCCCTCTGAATTGGCTTAGATTCCAGACCAGACAGGCCTGTATCTTTAAGACAGTCACATGACATCACAATGTAAAACATTCTGCTTTAAAAGTACAGGTCTCGCCTGCACCCACTGTCTCTACCTAAAGCAGTCAGTCAGTTATGTGTGTATATAATGTATAGTAAGATCGGTAAGCACCCAATCCAGACCATGTGTGTACATCTGTGTTATTGTAGCTTTGAAGTGGTTATTGTTGCAAATAAACTTCAAATATCTAACTCAAGAGGAACCAACTACATGTGGTTTGGGATATGCAGTTCAATATTCCTTAAACTATCCCTCCATCATAACGTCAGAAGTGAAGGTGGTCACTGATGACTGCATAAGGTTCAGCACCATTTGTGACTCCTCAGATACTGAAACAGTCCATGGCCAAATACAGCAAGTTCTGGACAACATCCAGTTTGTGCTGACAATTGGTAAGTAACATTTGTACCATAGAAGTGCAATGACCATCTCCAACAACAGAAAATCTAGCCATCACCCTTGATATTCAATGACATTACCATCACTGTCAACAGATACTGAACTAGACTAGCCAAATAAGTTCTGTGGCTACAAGTACAGATCAGAGACTCCCACAATGAATAATTCACCTCCTGACTCCCTAAAATCTGCCCACCATCCACAAGGCTTCAGTTAGGATTGTGATGGAATACTTTCCATTTGCCTGGATGAGTACAGCTCCAATGATACTCAAGAAGCTTGACACCATCAGGGCAATGCAGCCCTCTTGATTAGCACCACATCCACAGACATTTTTCATCCTCCATCATGCTCAGTAGCAGCATGTTTATCATCTACAAGATCCATTGCAGAAATTCACCAAGCGAGCTTAGTAGTACCTTGTAAACCCGAGAACGCTACCATGTATAACAAAAAAGGGCAGCAGATACATGGTAGTACCACCACCTGGAAGTTCTACTCTAAACCACTCACCATCAGAGGTGGAAATACATCATTGTTCCTTTAATGTCGCTGGGTCAAAATCCTGGAATTCCCTCCCTATTGACATTGTGGGTCTACTTACAACAAATGGACTGCAGCAGTTCAATACGGCAGCTCACCACCACCTTCTCAAGGGCATCTAGGGATGGGTAATAAATGTTGGCCCAACCAGCAATTCCCACTTCCCAGGAATGGTTTTAAAAATGGCAGCATGATGGGCAGTATATTGGCAGTAGAAGAATGTTACAGAAAGTGTAGGTTGAAAGCTGGTCCTGACAGCTAGTTATTTGCAGCAACCATACATATGTGACAAATGAAACATATCCATCTGCAAAGACAGAAAGCACACCACAGAGTGAAGGTACACCACCAAGTTATGATAACTATATTATGATGAGATTGTTCATGTTGTACAAGGTGCTTTCTGAATATACAAAAATCATTATGAATATGGATTCTTGTACTTGTGATTTATTCTCTGATGGGAGAAGGTGGGATGTTGTATAATGACACAGATTCCAGACCAGACAGGCCTGTACATTTAAGACAGTTACATCACATCAAGATATGTCACCTTCTACGATAAAAGTATCCAACTTGCCTGCACTCAGTCTGCCTGTGTAAAGGAGTCAGTGTCGTCAGTTGGTTACATGTATACTAATATAGAACAACATCAGCAAGTATTGACTGCAGACTATGCGTGTAAGTCTGTGATATCCTAACCTTGTAGATAGGTATACAATCATACCAATATGAGTTAGGAACCCAACTGCTTGTGGTAAACGTCATGTGGACTAATATATAGTAACCATAAAAGTTCATCACTAGTGGCACCCACTTCCCATGTACGAATAAATTTTAAAAAAAATTACAGAAGGAGAAAGGACAACATTGGTAGGACTTTTCAACAAATGATTTTATATATGGCTTTAATCTGGCTTATCTGTCTGTTCACTTTAGCAGAGAAGATGATATTAAATACTAGAATACCATGGAGAAGCTGTAGTTGATTGGTTTATTACTTAACATTAATGCATTGACAAAACTGATTGACTTTTGTACCAAATATAAGGGCGTGGGATAATCCCTGTGTGACATGTAGTAAAACTAAATTGCACTTACCAATATCAATACTTACATACATGCAGAAAGAATGGAGCAGTTATCGTAATATTGAAATATACAGATCATGACCACCAATGGAACTGTTGTAGTAACAAAAGAAATCTAGATAGCAATACCAATTTGGAGTTCACAGAATAAATTTCAGAATATTCATGGTCATTAAGTGTTAAATTATTACCGCAATTCACTGCCTAAGTTAGGAATCTGATCAATTTGTTCTGGAGTTGTTGTTACTTTGCAATAATATGCTATATGAATGGGACTCTCAAATATATGTTATTATATCCCTGTGCACATTTTCTACAAATATTATGATAATTATTAACTTCAGTTAAGTTGCAGCAGTGAACCAACTTCATAAAATGGAAAGTAAGCAAAACAGTACTGTGAGATTAATTAGACCATGTTCTTTTTCCTGAAGGTATCCATTGATACTGCACCTGAATAAACAATTCCAGCAATTACAGATGAAAACTTTTAATATCTTAGAAGAAAAAAAATTAGTCTGAGTCTTCCTTTTTCTTTCATTCTTGCACTGCATTATATTTAGCATTTGCTCATCCTCTATGAATTATAGATATGGCATTGCTCGCTTTAATCTCAGGGGCTGGTAGTGGCTCCAAATGTAAAGCCCGTTTCTTCATTAACTTTTGTCTTCCTTGAAACTTGCACTGTCATGCAGCTCATATGCAATGTTTACAATTATATCTGGTGACAACATTATGACAGCACTTACTAACTCCATGACTTGGGAAGAACCTTCATCAACTGGAGAGGTAGATTTTACAATGCTACCTGTGCACCTGGGAGGCAGAGAGGATGCACAAGAAAGCCTAGGAAAAGTTGTGTCACGCAGGAGAGAGAAGGTGGAATAACATTTCTCTCACTCCTCAATTGTTCACAAGGTTTCTTCATTCTTTCATACAATGTGGTTGACACTGGCAGGCACAGCATTTGTTGCCCATCCGAAATTGTGTATGGACTGAATGATTTGACAAGCTATTTCAGAGGGCAGTTAAGAATCATGGAACAGATTTCCTTCTCTAAAGGAGAGCCGTGAACTAGATAGATTTTTACAACAATCGATGATAGCTTCATGGTCACTGTTACTGAGATTAGCTTTCAATTTCAGATGTATTAATTCAATTCAATTTCAACTAGATGCTGTGATGAGATTTGGAACAATGTCTCCTGCTAAATTAGAATGAGAATTTGGATCACTATGTTACAATTTTCCTCAATATGCATAAGGCAAACAATAAGAGTGATAGAATCTTCTGATTAGCCATGTTTAATATGGAGTTGCATCTCAGTTTACAAGCTGCAGACTAGTACCCTTGTCCTGGGAAAACAAAAACAGCTATGGATACAGAAGGAAGCACGTGAGTTGTCAATCTCATATGCCACTAGGCATGGGAAGAGAACTAAAGAAAGTTTATTTTGTGTGGATGGGGAGTGCCTACAAACAGTCAACACTTTTAGACAGGGAGGAGAAAATATATATTTTAAAGGGTGTGGTATAAATCATTTGAGTGTTGCGACATTAATGGATAGACACAAGCAGGCTTTTTGGTAAGTGTAAACCAGAAGAAAAAAAGTTTATTCATACAGCACATGAAATGTAAACACAACAAAATACTTATTCGATCAAACACACAGACAAATACACATAAGAATGGAATAATAAGAAATGAATCACATGTTCAAATTCTTTAAGATGAGATCATTGCAGGTCTGGATGAGGTCATTTCTCACGGTTCTTCGATTGTGAATAGATGTGGGATGCCTCTGGATTTTCAGAAAAATCGTGGTCAACCTCTTGTTAAAAAGAGATGTACTTTTTTGCAGGTGGGAACAAACTGGCTCCTTCCTCATTGCCTCGATCTGTCTTCCTGCTGGAGGATGATCACTATTGTGTTAGTCTCCAGATTGATTTGACACAGGCTGGATTATTAAGCCAGTATCTTCCTTATTCATGAGAGAGTGATAGAAGATTATTTTTAAGCCATATCCCAAGGATTCAAGAAGAGGTAGCTGATAGCCCTTTGGCAATATGAATCTTGCTGAGAACAAGACATTTTCTCAAGGCTTTGCCTTGCACTTATCAGGACATTTTGCAAGAAATACCAAAGGAAATCAACAATTATACTGAATGAGATGAGACTGCTGATTGGTTGGAAATTGGACTTTAATAAACTGAGTTAGTGCCAAGGTGAATATCTTGAGCGACTACAATGCATTTGCAATGTAAATGGCAGTTTCCACTAACAGGATGCTGCCATCAAGCTAAAAAGATATCCTGCTGATCACACAAATTTTATATGAATGTCATATCTGATATGAAGCTAGGTGTGTAGTGTGTATGTCCCTGAGCTGGCAGATTGTATCAAAAAGCTGTTCACACAGGCCAGGTGCCGACCTTACCCAAATAGGCTTTCCTTGCAAACAAAACTAATTCAGGTTGTCGGTTGTGCTCACAGTCTGGCACAGTGTGCATTCTGCAAGTTACATATATTAATGCACAGACCTTGTCCCTTATAGACAGAAAAAACATGCACACACATTGCACCAGTTACAAACAAACAAAATAGGTGACAGCCATTCTCTGCTAATTTCTCAGGGAATGCCTTGACTGACTAAGTAAACCTACTTTGTTTAAGATTTAAACAAAGCTTGGCAGTTAGCAGTCAGTCATCATCTCACTAGTGCATTCTACAATGGTAATGCCTTTATGGATCAGATGCTACTTGCTGACCAAATCAGCACTCTGCTCTCAAAAATTATAAATATTGTTTTCTCTTTACATTAGATAAAATTCAATAGGTTTCTATGAGATCACTTCTCATTCTTCTAAACTCTAATGAATACAATCCTAACCAACTCAATCACTCCTCATACGAAAATCCTGTCATCCCAGGAATCAATTTGGTAAGCCTTCACTGCACTCCCATGATAGCATGAACATCATTCCTCAAATAAGGAGACCAAAACTACATTTAATATTCCAGGTGTAGCCTCACCAATACTCTGTATAATTACAGCATCCTTGTTCCTGTATTCAAATCCTCTACGAAGGTCAACAAACAGTTTGCCTTGTTTATTACCTGCTGCACCTACGTGCTTACTTTCAGTGACTGGTGCAGGAGAACACCTGGGTCTTGTTGAATATTCCCCTCTCTCAATTTACAGCCATTGAAATAATAATGTGCCTTCTTATTTTGCTACCAAAGTGGATAACCACATACTTATCCACATTACACTATATCTTTCACGCTGTTGCTTACTTACTCAGCCTGTCAAAATCACTCTGCAGCATCTCTGAATCCTCCTCACAGCTCACCCTTCCAACCTGTGTCATCTGCAAAATTTGAGATATTACATTGAGTTCCCTCATCGAAATCATTAACACATATTCTGAAAAGCTGGGGTCCTAGTTCCCTGCAGTACACCACTGTTATTCAGAAACTGACCTATTCTAAAACTATGCCCACTCTTTGGTCTCTGTGTGCTAACTAATTTTCTATCCATCTCAATAATTACCCCACTGCAATGAACTTTAATTCTACACATTAATTTCTATGTGAGGCATTGTCAAAAGCCGTCTGAAAGTCCAAATAAACCGTACTCACTGGATCCCCCGATCAGCTCTACTGGTTACATCCACAAAGAGTTCAAGTAGATTTGTCAAGCTTGATTTCCCTTTTGTGAATCCATACTGATTATGTCTAATTCTACCAGTGCTTTCTAAGTGCTCTGCTGTAAATCCTTGATTTACGTCTTCCCATTACTGAGATCAGTTTTACTGGTCTCTAATTCACTGTTTTCTCTCTCTCTCCCTTTTTAAATAGTGGGGTTAAATTAGCTACTCTCCAACCTGTAGGGACTATATCAGAGTCTAAAAAGTTTTGCAAGGTGACCACCAATACATCCACTATTTCTGCGGCCACTCTCTTCCGTTCTCTGGGATGTATGTTATCTGGCCCTGGATATTTATCAACCTTCAATCCCATCAATTTCTCCAACACTATTTCTCTACTAATACAGATTTGCTTCAGTTCCTCCTTCTCACTAAACTATCTATTTGCATGATTAATTAATCCAATTTATATCAAATGCTCCATGCATCCAGATGGTAAGCCTTGAGGCTAGTCTATTTAATGATCCTTGTCCCATTCCCTGTATTGTTTACTGTGGCACTTATTTGATTCTGGCCTTTGATTCCTCTGCCTATCATTTCTCTTCTTCCCCTTTCTATTTTTTACATTGGTACTTCTTGCAAGTTGTCCAGATGAGTGAAAGATGAAAAGCTTCTTGAATCTCTTGAAGCATTGACCTAGAGAAAAATAAGGAGAGCCAAATACTCCGTGATGACACAGAGGATAGGGGCTGAAAGATACAGGGCAATGAATCAGCCATCCAGCTAAAGTTGGACAAAGATCAGTTTAGTAAACATAAGTTCATTCATCTGAAGCCTAAAGCTGATAAGGACCAGAATATGTAGCAGAAATAGTTAGGTGAATCTATCAATAGTGATACTGTAATGTATCTCTGTTATTTTTTTTCCTTTTCCAATGTGCATTTTGTGAATTTTTTGAGAAAAAATTAGTTTTGATTACTTATGTTGCTCTGTATACTGCTAAATTGAAAGATATAATGATCTGCGTCTGGTTTTGTCCCAACAGGTGTTTCAATCTGCCTTTAGAAGGATTGAAGCAGCACACAGCAAGCATGATTCAGATTGCAAAACAGCAGATGGTGGTGAAGTGTTGATATCACTGGGTTAGTACTGCAGAGACTGACGGTAATGCTGTGGGTATAGCTAATTTAATCAAAGCAGCAGGTGGAATTCAAATTCAATGAATTAGAATTGAAAGGTAGGTTCATTAATGGTAACTATGACAACTATTATTGATTGTCCTAAAATCCCTCAAATAAATCCCCTTTAGTGAAAGAGATCTCTGTCCTGACCTTGTTTGGCATGTGACTTCAGGCTTAACTTCTCCTGACATGGCCTAATAAGTCTTTCGGTTCAGGGGCATTAGGGACATGCAACAAAAACTGGCCTTTCCAATGATACTTA